AAAAAAAAAAAAAAAAAGAAAAAAAAAGAAAGAATAAAAGATGCTGTTTCATTATGTCTGTCACCATGAAAACTTAGCTGCATCTTTTGAAATATCAAATATGAATTTTCTCTCAAAGATTCTGAAATAGGTTAAATCTTATATAAATATTACTTTGTGCAATATTGTTGTGTAGTTAAATGCATTATTAGCAAAGTATAGAGGTCACTGTGTAAACCGATAGAAAAGTAACCATCAGCAAATACTGCAGTGATTAGTTAGAATCTGTATTATTCCTTATATATATGTATATGTATGTATTCTTTGTTACAAAGGATGAAGACAAATAGAGAAACATTTCAATGTAAACCATTTATGAATTGGAAGTGATGTTGGTTTTAGTTATCTTTGTAAATAAGGTAATTAGAATGGTATGAAAGGTAATGTGATTATTGCAGGGGTGTTTTTAAATCTTGGGTATAAATTCTAGGGTATCTTCTAGTTTATCAAGACTAGTTTTTAAGGGACCTGCCTTTGATGGTGGTTTTTTTTTTTTTTTGCGGGGGGGGGGTGGTGGTGGTAAGGGATTAATCACAAAGTATGTGGTTTGGGTTATTTCTTGTTTTTATTTTTCTGTCCAGAAGAATTTCATAGAGCTTTACCAGGCTGTGCAAAGTAAAATTCTTCTCAGGCAACATTTGCTTTTTAAAATAATCATGAAGAGCAAGGTTGTTAAAGCAAAAACTTTTTTTTTGTCTTCCAAGATCCTATTCCCCCATCTCCCACTTGCCATCCAGCAGATGCCATCTGTCATCTAAGCTGGTCATTGCTAATAAACAAGGAGACTGTCTCCTGACAGCCAGCACTGTGTTTAATCACTCAGGAACCAGCGGATCTGCAAAGACCTTACAATCAAAAGCTAATCCCCATTTTCCTTTTAGAAAACATTCTACCCTCACCTCCAATATGAACATTAAAGGAGTATAAAAATGTTTGAGATCATGTACTAATAAATTCATTGTATGTTAGAATTGCAATAGAATGGAGAGAGACACATTTAGCTAGTAATATATCTGGAAACTCTGAATGTCCTATGTGAGTATTAGATTTTAATAGCATGCTTTAAAGACTGATGAATATAAAAGCGGCAATTTTGAGTTTCTTACTGCTTTCAAAGCTGTTTCCTAGCTTAGTGATACAAATGACTGCAACTTTTCTAAATCGTTAAATTATTTGGTTTGGTGGAGTGAGGCATGGAGTAATCTGGCATCTTCTGATTTGTAAAGTAGTGATGGCAGTGAAGTTGTAACTGAAATTTAAGCTGATCTTCCTTTTTGGTATATCATCCATTGTGCCAATTCTTTGAGATTACTTGCAGAATGGGGCTATAAATTATAGTATTTTGTGGAGCGGAGGGATATTTAAAAATGTGCTTATGGAAAGGACCCAATAAATGAGTATTCCTAACTTAGTAACTAGAATGAGCTTATGGTATCCATTAGGAAAGTCTTCCCCCTGCCCCAGAAGTTATTCTATAATTACCAAGCTATGCTAGGAGTAGGATTATTATTCAAAAGGTATCCTAAATTCATAAAGCAATAATAATAAAAACCTACATATTATTTCCCCCTCCAAAGTTTTAACTCTTTAAATATCAACTCCTAAGCGTGATTGTACCTTTTAATTTGCTTATTCAATACTTAGAATTTAACTGATATGATATTGTTTTAATTAAAGCCTTTTGAAAAGTGCTCTTTCCTCTTAGAGACAGTTGGGAACATCAGTTGACTAATATTACAACCAGTTGTAGGGGAAGAAGGAGCTTACTAAATAAAAATCTTTATGAAACCTTAGGAAAAGATCTTTTGCCTCAGTCTTAATAGGCATAAAATTCACACTTAACAGTCCCTGGGGAAACTTGCTTATTGCCTTTCCCTATACAAATACTCTGTCTACAATGCAAGCTCATGTAGGAACAAGACTCCAAAATCCAAGAAAATCCTTAGTGAATATATTCTTGATCATTTATACTAGCCCATAATATTTTCATCTACAATTGCCATTAAATATTTAATTTGCATTTATATCTTTTGGATAATTGAGTATCTATTTTATCATTGCTACAGGTTATGAAAAAAGAACCTTTCACTAGCACATGTCAGAAATTCACATTTTTGCTGAGTTTTACTTTTTAAAAACAGGTTGTATCTGTATTTATTGGTCATGCAGTAGGTAGAGGAATGCACAAGACACATTTTTTTCTTTAGCACCTAAGGGACATATTCTCATCCTGAAAGTTTGTTGCTTTAAAAGCAAGTATCTCCATAAATATTATGGCCTTCCATTTGCTTCACATGTTTTTTAGGATCCACTTGTGCATGTAGTTGAGACCACTGTCTCTTAATATAGCACTTTCAATTCTCTCTAAAGAAATACTTATGTATACTTCTATCACATGTTGTAAATTTCATGTAATAGTGTTTTCTGTGACTAAACTCCATTTTGATTGGCAGCTAAGACTTTTTTTTTTCCTGTGGCTTTAATTTATCTAAGAGGTCTTTGCATATAGATGAAATGTATAATTTGCCTGGTGGACTATTTGCGTTGTGTGGCCTTAGTTTGTTTATTGACATTAACAAGTGTTTTAAAAACGTTTTTAATGAATAGTCTTAAATCTAAATTTGTGTGAATAATAATCCTTTTAACACAGTGCTTTTTTTGTAGCTGTCTAAGTGTGTTAAATTGTTGAGCTATTTCTTTGTAAAATAGGACAATGGAATGCATAGAGGTTTTTTTTTCCCCCCTGTAAAGTATTTTTTTAATAAACAAAGTCTGATTTGTGCTTTACTGATGCTTCATCACAAAATGAATAGCACATATATGTGAATTTCTAGATACTCGGAACTTGTTTTTAGAGGCTTATTCTCATCCCCTCTGTGTTATTGTGTACCATGAAATTGATTTCTACTCATAGTGACCCTATAGAACAGAGTACAAACCCTGTAGGGTTTGTAATCTTTTCAGAAGCAGGTGGCCATGTCTTTTCTCCCACAGAGCCACTGGTGGGTTCGAACCTCTATCATTTTGGTTAGCAGCTGAGTGTTTAAACATTGTGACACCAGGGCTCTTTACCCCTCTAAAACCAAACCAAATCTACTGCCATTGAGTTGATTCCAACCCCCATTGGGTTCCCAAGGCAGTAAATCTTTATGGAAGTAGATTGCCTCATCTTATTTCTGTGGAACAGCTGGTGGGTTTGAACCTCCAACCTTTTGGTTAGCAGTCATATGCCTTAGGCTCTGTGCCACCAGAGCTGCTTTTATTCCTTCTATATTCCCTTGTATTTTAGAAAACTCTTGTGACTTTTCTTTCCTAAAGAAAAGGGCATAGATGTCTGAAGAACGTTCCATCAATGTTGAGACTCAACTAGCTTTTGGGAAGAAGAAAAATCATGTTTGGTATTTATGGCAGTTAAGCCTGCTGCTGCTGCTGAAGCTGGCCTGTATCTCCTCTTGAGAGAACAGACTTGAGTTTTTTTCTGGTGACATAGATATTTCAGAAGTGGATGCAGTATTAATGAAGATGTTATTAAGTGACACACTCAGTGGGTCACTTTTTTTGTATGTGTCAACTCTTTGAGATACATGCCCTGAGTTAGCACTGACAGCTCTGAGCTTTGATTAGAAAATAAAAGGGAACTAACACTGTAACTACAATGGGCCAGGCACTTCAAATGAGGTTATGTCATTA